TGTTCGCCGCCAGTCACGTCGCAGGGCGCGGGCGATCCAGCTCTGGCGATACACGTGTATCGGTATCTGTGTGGTAGGTCAAGGGTTCAGGCAGTGCTCATAGACATTAGTCATGGCAATGATAAGTATGTGTCGCTGTTTGTAACGGTGGACCCTACTTGACAGCTAGCAATATAATTGCTAGCTGTCAAGAACCACGCACAAGTAATTATGACGTGTGCGTGGTTCTACTTTGCCCCCTCTAAATATTAAGTACCAGGCGCTTGCTTTGAGCGTAGATCTACATGCCGACGCTAGCCAAGCTGGCAATGTCTGTATGGTGATGTTAACCCACGCCTTAACCTTTTAATACCACACGCTAGTCTACAACGACTGGGGGTTTTGCACGTTAGATTCACCCAAGTACTAGCAGCTACTATGAGCCCTGAACTAGGCTAGATACTGAATGCGCTAGGTAGGACTCGCCCATCCGCCCCTCCCCACCTGAAGCGTCGATGGGCGCTCTGGCAGGATTTTACGGTATTGTTAATTAAATTTTGAATAGGGCAATGATAGGTTTCATGATAATGTGAAATTCATTTTGCCCAGAACAAGAGGCTTTGTTAGGTACATGAGTACGTGTCGCTGTTTGTAACCATGGACACCACTCGTCAGTACTCACGCCTGCGTGGTTTTACGCTACGCCTCCAAAACCAGGTAAGTTATTATTTATTCTTGTTTTACTAGGGAATTCCCAACAGGCGGTGACGCCTTTTTACAGGGAACCCTGGGTGGTTTCTCAATTCGATCCACCATGTTCACGCCGTTCGATTGCTTGGAAGAAATATCGCACTTGAATCGATTCACGAATGGATTCATGAACCATTATTCAAGTGTGTAATCCAACGCACTCAGTGAACTTGTATTCAACTAGTTACGTCACTTCCAGCTTTTCGAGCTCCCCAAGTAAGTGTGACCATCCGGCGTCCACGTACTAGTATACAGTGCATTTTGTATGATAGTTGAGATGTCAGAGTGGTTACGTAATCGCCCTAAAATCGTGTCGCAGGACTGACCATAGGCATAGTCCATAGCAGCTACAGTCACTCGTGGCACACGACCATGATCCTGCACTAGGCTGAAAATATGGCGTGGGCGTGCAAGCAACAATACTTCCATGGCCTCGTACAGCAGCCCAAGCATATTTTTGAAATGTTTGGAGAGGAAGAAGGCGGAGCGCAAAGAGAAAGCCCCTGTTCAGAGTTTGAACTAGCAATCTGCGTTGTGTTTTCGCGAAGCTGCCGCTGAGCCAAAGTAGGTTATTTTCGTTTGGATTTTTCGGTCACTGCGCATCGTTGTACGCCTTGGATTCGCTCACCATCGTCTTCCGCGTCCTTGAATTTAGTTTCTTGCAAAGTTTGGTTGCCGTGCTTGCTTGCACACCATAGTTTTTTTACCGTTTCTGGGCGCACCTATAATAATAATAATAATAATAATAATAATAATACGAAGTAATGGTTGCGACTTCGGCGATGACTTGTAAGAAAGGGTTTGCTCCCCACACCGGAGCTCGCGCTATTCCGCCGACTTTACTTGACACTTGACTGACTCACGACTGCCATCCAGAGCACACAAGAAGTCCATCGAACCTTCGACTCGGCAAACCTGCAAGAAAGCACCACTCCCTGCTCAATACACAGTGTTTCGGGGAATTCACCCCTCATCAGTTGAGCTTGAGTAGGCTGAGGAAGATTGTGCCTGAAGAGCACCACTTATAATTATAGTGCTCTCCAGGCACAAACATCAACAGCGTTGCGAATGACCGAGGGTCCTCGACGTCTGCCTCACCGTCCAGGAGCGACACTGACCCACGCTACTAGTACTACCCGGTGTTCACGAGGTGTTTGTCGCGCTGGAAACGGAGCGTCTCTGTAAGTTTGTTGTATCCCTGGCACTTTCCCTCAGCTCTGCACTTTGTTCCCCATGGCAACCGCTCATGACTCACTGGGCAAGTAACATAGTTAGTTGACGTATTTTGTGCCCTCGCATCTTGCTGTTTGTGTGCAGTGGTGCATCCCTCAGCTCGCCAAGGGCGGGTGCCTGTCACCCTACTTCGAGCGCGTATTATATACTGCTTCCATAGATTGGATTCAACTAAAATTTGACCAGTACGGAGCGTTTTGAATACTGATTCGATTGGTATATCACTCATTCCTCTGGTTTCAAGTATGATTTTTCGTCTGATACCGCTGATGATAGACTCTGAGAACGTTCAGAACTTACTTAGTCATCAAGGCCACTTTTGAGAGAATGTCGTGCGGGTTGCGTCCCGAAAATCTTCGCGCGACATTCTAAAAGGCCAGGTGTGATTCGTCGCATTTGTTCAGAGGTTCGTTAGACTGTAACCTGTGGGAACGTTTGTCGCGTTTCATCTTGATACAAGTACATAATTATTTCCTGTACTCAACGACTGAGTTGAAATTGATCTACTTCAAACTACATCAATGTGTATGGATTTTGGTGGACTTAGCCCTTCGCATTCAAATCAGCTTCAGATGTTTCGACTTGGAGCAAGCTGAATGCAAAAGTTACCAGGCATAACCGCGGGGAGGTGCCACCGTTTATGCCCGCTTGGAGGTCAACAGCTCCTTCACCAGGAAGGAACTGTCGTCATCCCATCCAAGCGTTTCTTCACAGAGTTGTCTCTCTGGCATTGTTCTTGGAGTATGCTCTCCTTTACCATTTCGCAGAATTGTCGATTGAGTCACTTATCACATCGTTGCATCACTGTCATCACCTTAAGGTTCTGATATGTCGTCGAAAACAAGGTAATGTTCAGCATCTGGTGCGAACGTGGTACTGTCGCTGAGCTTGGCTGTCTCTGGCAACTCTCCATTGGCCTTCAGCGTCCTTGCTTCCTCATGGCTGGACTTCATAATTACAGTCATCTGCTCTAGAATCCTGGAAGTCCCTGACGCCAATCAGTATGATGTCGCCTTGCTTGATCCAGACTTTGTTCAACCTTAGCGTTCCTCGAATTTGGCTAATCCGATTGCTGTCGGTGCGGTCCGCCTTTCGTTGACGACGATTCTTTCCTCCTTTCCCTTTATTCGGCCGCATGGCTCTCACGGAATGAGAGGATGTTCTCGAACACAAGGAACAATGCGCGCAACTGAATCTCTCCTTTGTAGCTTCACGTTACACTGATAGCGATCTTAGAAATTCTGCAAGCAAAACTCTATCCTACACTCCAGTGAACTTGGGAAAAATGCACCCTAAACATGCTGTAAGCTCGCATTTATGCCCTCGTTCGGGCGAGCAAGGCCCTTGCGAGCAAGGCCGTGGACAAGCGCTGGCGATACACGTAGTAAATGAGAGATGAGAAATGGGAGGTGGGTGGGTGAAACAGAACGATCTGACCAGAGTGATCCACACACAGAACGGATCGAAATATATAACTAAGCAACTTTTAGCATGACACGTTGAGTGCCCACGACGCCTGCCGCCTACGATGAGCGTCGCGCATGAATGAATGTCACGTTGAGTGACACATAGAATGCCACGACGCATAGCATGCAGCAAGGCGTCTGACCGACATGGATACCGTGATGTACAGCGCACGTGACTGTAGCCAGCAGCAAAGCATGAGCATACAGTAAAAGCGCCAGAAATAATAGCAGCATAGCACGAATCAGCCGCGTGCACGCATTAGTCTGCATTATTACTATATTTAACTACAACCCACAGCAGCTTGCGGTTAGGAGGGTGCTGGCCAGCCAAGTGAGAGGCTACAGAAAGAGCAGGATCTTGGCGGAGCCAAGAGGATAGTCACGTCTTCACTGATGCGATGTCAGGTGCTGGTAGGTTGATAAGCGGCGGGCCGTAATCTCCCGCAATCTGCGCGCGAAGCAACGCCACGGCCTTCAGGTTCATGCGGCGTCTCGCCGCACGAACCTGCAGTCGCGTGTGGATTGGGTTATTGTACCAGAGGCAGACGAGCGCTGCCTGCAAGCCCTTGGAGTAACGTAGGATAAACACAGGCAGACGCGGACGACTGCCGCTCATGCAGGTTAGGGCCGGGTTCCACTGCGGCTCGCGTCCGCGTTGCGTGAGGCAGAAGCGCATGCTGACGCGAAGCCGCTCGGTTCCACACTACAATCGTCACGCGAGGTTCCGCGGCTAGCGCGGCTCGAGTTTCTGGCCAGGTGGTCATGGAAACCATGCATGGCGCAGTCGCGTGATCATTATTATTTTCGCGCGAACGTTCGAACTCCAAACTTTACCCACAGCTAGCTAGCTAGCTTGTTCTGGCAGTTTGTTCGAGCTTCTTTGTAGTGTTGTTTTCTTCAGGATTGTAGTTGTTGGTGTTGCTCGTGGTGCTGTGACTGTCACGATGGCGTGTTGGCCTAGGAGAAAAACGGTTCTTGCTGTCATGCTGTCGTTTCAAGCTCTTGCTCTATTCACAGAAATTATTTTGAAAGGTGGAAGCGACGAAGCAGAACTTGTAGATTGCAGCAGCATGCACAAAACCCGATCGATCCCTGACACTAGCTTTTTGTGGATGGCACTGCTGAGTATGCCTATGTTCAAGGATTTTTGGAGACGAGGACGTGCCCGCAGGAGATTTTGGTGTGCAATGCGCGGCCCTGGTATTTGGCAGAGTCAATTCTTGCAATGTCTGCCAACAATGACTGCACGTGGATTTGCTGATTGGGAGGAGAACCAGTACAAACACAACTTTCGCATGGGACGCGAGGCGTTTTGGAGACTCCACGTTCTTGTGGGGAACTCTCTGACCAGGCAGGACACGCACATGAGGAAGAGTGTGTCGTCGAGCAAACGTCTTTGCAATTACACTGCATTGGTTTGCCCATGCTCCCTCCTATGCCCAGCTTGCATTGTTGTACGGAGTGGGAAAACCCACTGCCGTCCACATTGTGCACGACACTGTCAATGTGTTTGTAACGGAGTTGGTACCAAAGACCATTGCATTCCCCCAAGGGCCAGAGTTAACGAGAGTGATGGCGGATTTCCAAGACTTGTGTGGGCTGCCCTACTGTGGGGGAGCGATCGACGGCACTTTCATGGAGATTGAGAAGCCTGTAGCCCATGGCGATGTTTATTGGTGCTACAAAAAATATCCAGCCATAATGATTCTCGGAACTGTTGATGCCAGAGGCATCTTCATCAACGTGAACTGTGGCAGACCTGGCTCTGTTGGAGACGCAGCAACCTTTGCAGCATCTGCACTGAGGCAAAAGATAGTGGACAAGGTGTGGTTGGTCAGCGATCCGTTGCCAATCGGAGGCATGGCGATCCAGCCATACCTTGTAGCTGATTCCGCTTTTGCCCTCAACACGTTCACGATGAAATGCTTCTCTACCCCTGTCGCTCCTCAGCAGCAGTCATTTAACTACCGCCTCATTCGCACCCGCAGAGTAGTGGAACAAGCTTTTGGGAGACTGAAAGGCCGGTTCCGCATCTTGGTGCATAGCAGCATCAGGAATCCTAGATTCGCTGCTGATGTTGCTGTGGTTGCGTGCTCGCTGCAAACCTTGTGCGAGCGCTGGAGCTGTCCGTTTGAGCAGCAGTGGACCATAGATCCAGCGCAGTACGCTGCACACCATCCTGGACAGGATGAGCATGCGAATGCGGAGAGAGAGGCAGGTGGTGATGGTGTCCGCAACGCCATTGCTGCGTACACACATGCCAATTTCCCCTTGCATCAGGTTTAGTAGGAATGAAGAGAGTCTGGGAACTATAGACCAGCTGAAGTCACCGTGCATCATGGAACATCGTTGCTCTCGCTGGGCACACACTCAGATGTACAATTACATGTACCGGAATGTGTACTAGTAAATATTTTCTTCCTTTCTCGTTTCTGTTCCTAAAATTGGAGAAAGCTTGGTGGTCCTACCTTCCTTTGTATGTGTGTAACGGTAGATAATGTAGGATTTCTTTTTACCACTAAATTGCGGGCAAAAAAACAAATGGGTTTCTGTAATTCTCCAATTCCCTCTCCTCTTTTTCATGCACCCGATTTGGGTATTGTTTCATTTTTTCCCGCTTTGTGTTTGAGCCATTCAGCCTAGTGAGTGCTGCTAGCTTTGATGCTGACACGAATGTGTTTTCTGTGAACCGACAATTTGCCGGAGGTTCTACATGTCCGGGCATGTGACATGCTCCTTTGCGGGTGTATGCGTACACAGTTTAACATTCAAGTAACAGCATGTGGCCGAGGATGAGAAGTGTCATTACTCGCTTTTTTATGGTTGTATCCGAGGTCGTTACTCGCAAGTTTGGCCGTGCGTCCGAGTACTATTCCAACGTACTGGTGCTTGCATGCATTTCTTCTTGTGTGTCTGTAAATATGTATTGCATTTGTGAAATCCCAACTGCTTCATGTCCACAGCCTGTAGCATACACTGAAAAATAACTCATTGCTAGACCCGTTCAGCCGAGCTATGATGATCACAATATTGTTTTGCTAGACACACCAAGTTGGTACTACAATGTAATGTAACGACACATTTATGACCGATGACCTTTCTGAATTGACCATAAAACAGCAATATGAACAAGTAGTATAGAGTATAGACACGTGATACTGCAGGTATGCTGTATCAAGAGTACCGGGACAGCCTGACTAAACGTTCAACTGAGCATTGTCCTTGACATGGGATACCAGCGATAATATTGAAAAACAACTACATAAGAACAGGAGAATAGAATAAGCAGCAGTAATTTTGTGCATGCACGCCAATGTGTAATGTGAAGGAAGAAAACCTAGGGCATTACTCTACACTCTGTGCACATATCGTCGCCATCAAGCTGTGACTGAACGGATGCTTGTGCAAACGCTGTCGTGTTTGAATCTTCACACACCAGACCATCACCTACAGGGAAAATGCAGGCATACAAGCAGACAAACAAATGAAGAGACATTAGATATAGAAGATGAAGCATCATGAACAAACTCCTTGCCTCACACAGATTGCTCAAAAACAAAGTAATAATTATTATACTTCTTCAAGTATCAAAATTGACATTGAACATTAATGAAATATTTCTTCGAACAGAAATTGTTATGATGAGAAACAATCCTCGGGGTGCCAATCGTAAACCATTCAAATATAATTTGACTAATACTTACTTTTCATCATTTTTATCATCCTGAAGGATATTCTTGAAGAGGTTCGCTTGAAATGGCATCATATTCTGTAGCAAGCCCGCCTGAAACGTCTGGTTTTGCTGCAGCTGAGTATTCCGGTCCTTTGCCAGGTTGGACTGGTGGGTCATCGTCTGTTGTAACAGTGAAGTCTATAGCATTGAGAAAAGGGGCAACAATAACAAAATCAGTATTTACTTTACACTAGTCCACGTATATCAAATTCAATCAAATATAATCACAACAGTCCATAAACAGGAGTATGCAACTGTGATCTCTTTTCTATTGGCCAGATGCGCGGCACGCTGCCTTCATTACAACATTCAGCTGCAGTCTGCGCACTGCGCAAAATCAAACACCGCACTTTCCCTCTGGTTTGAAATGAACTTTCGTACGGAACTGGAGTTCACGTGCCAAAAGTTTAGAGATCTTGGAAGTGCTGGAACGAATCGAGCGGAAACGGATGGGCTCGCCCAATCAATTTTGGGTTTGAGTGCATGCTTTCAGAGCGTGATGGAGGCAAGTTACGTAATGAAGGCAGCACGCCGCGCACTGACCCATAACCACAGTTGCATACTTTTGTTTATACACTCTTGATAATTATTATTGCATATCCAGGAAATCAAAAATTCCAGACATCTACATGCATAAAAATTACAGATGTGCGCACACACACCGGCACACATACAAAAGATGCATAAACACATGCACAAACCTGGAATGTATGCTCCTTTTTCTGTTGTTGGGCTTGGATGTCTGCATACTGCGTCAGGAACTGCTGCTGCTGGTACGCCACCCGGGACGTTCCACTTGCTGTCGGCGTCGCCTTCTGCTCAGCCTTCACTGCCTTTGGTGGTGGAGTTACTGGGAGAGTATCATCATCATCATCATCATGAGAAAAGCCTCTTTTACGGGCAAAGCAAATGTATATCATTACAATATGTAAAGTGAACAGGGGAAATCAACACAAAACCAACCGGAAAATGATGAAACACAAAAGCAGTCAAGGAAGTAAATCAATACAAAAACAAGCAATGAACACAGAGTAATAAAAAGGGGAAAAACCAAATGGCATTATATTAAGTTGAGGCCAAAGGCAGCACCCTACTCCGCCTGGCGGCACTGGGCCAGAAATGAGTTCGGCTGTCGCCTCTTGCCGTACGAACCGCGGCAACCGCGGAAGCAGGTGACTGCCCATCGCAGCAAGCAGAAAGACAAACGGGTGCGTAGTATGCCCATTACTAGTGGGTACTTCAGTTCAGTATGGCGCTCAACAAACAGGGAGGCCAATGATTTCAGGAATTGAGTAGTTTCTGGGCCACTAAAGCCGTACGTCGAGAACACAAGTGGCGTGAAGGAGCCGCGCTCCACGTTAACCACACGGCTGGCGTATTGATTTTTCTTGTTTCGCTCGTGAGACTTCAGCTGACTCAGGGCTTGTGATCGAGACAACACAGACGCTGCGGGATGAGTGATCCGCACATCAAAGTAAGCGTCCTGTTGCCACGACCAAAAGCCGCGAGCCCGCACATCCAGACGAGCTTCTGCGCATCGGTTGAGGGAACGACCACCAGGCAAATGCTCACTGCTGCAGGGCAATAGCCGGGGCTCCGTCTCTACGTCCACCACTCCAGCCTCCCTCAGTAGTCCAGCAACCAAGTCCCGCACCTCATTGTGACGGGCAATGGTATAGCCGCCAGTGGCACAGGTAAGTGCATGAGCGGGGCTGAGAGGCCACCACAAACACATGAATCGGGTAGCCCACTCAACCTTCGCCCATAGCGGATGCACAGGGCATCACGGAAGTCGGATTTCTTCAGGATGGTTCCATCTTGCCACCGCGGGGCAACAGTCAACCATGACGATACTCCCTTTTCGGACGCGATTTCAACAAGAAATTGTTGCTCCGAGCTCAAATCCGCCTTAATGTCTTGTTGCCGGCTGCATAGGCTCCGCATTTTGCTTGTCCGAGTCGAGCGTGCCAGCTGGCGGGTGTCCCCAACAGCATCGCGGACGGGATCATGATTGGAGAGCCTCACTCGGTCGGCAACCTCCTGGGTTGTATCACCGGAGCCCTCTGACTGGGCAGTATCCGACAAATCGCTCCTTGCCATATCACCAGGCACGCTTGGAGGGTTCGCATATGTGCCAGTCAACAGTAGCTGAACAAGAGGCTTTGTGATGCTCAAGGATGCTGCGAGCTCTGCTGGTGCACTATCCTGCAACAGAGGGAGGGCCAAACCACCAAGACGCACTGGAAATGACATCAGCTCTCTCTCAGGGCTACCAGGACGAACGCCATCCCCCAGAAGGGCAGGTATCAGGCAATCATTGATCCTCTCATCAAGCTCGGCCAGTATCTCAGCCGAACAAGGTGAGCAACGCAAGTGGTATGTCCATGTGGATGACAGACCCTTCGTAAAAACGGTGTATGCGGCCTGAGGCTGAGTGACAGCCATCCCCGTCAGGGAATCCAGAACCTGCTTCCATTTATCCACCTTCCTGGCCATGAAGGCAGAGCAGAACTCCTCACTGCCAATCGCTCCGCCGAGGTGACGGTTGCCGCTGGTCTTGATGGTAACTCCAGTGGCGGAGAAGAGGCGCTGGGCCTCTTCCTCATGCTCCGGCTTGACCAGCAACACTGATTTCTGTGGGTTTGGAAAGTATCCATAGTCAGGGCCCAGTTGGCTTATGTCTCCCCAGTATGTGGACAATGAAGAAACGCGGCCACCTGCAGAATCGTCGTCCGCGTACCAAACCTGAGCCACAGATGGATTGGATTCCTGGAGGCGCCGAATCATCGGGACTGTAGCGATACCATACAGAGCCATGGCCAGCGGATCGCCCTGGCAAGTACCCTCCAGTGACTCAATCTCCCCGCCGCCGGAGACGAAGAGACGAATTGAAGAACTGTACGTGTTCTGGAACACCTTTGCCATAGCGGGGCATACATAGGGCACGTTATGGAGGGCCGCGTTTCTATTCAATGAATTGAACGCATTCGTAGCATCTACAAACAAGATGCCTTCCGTGTCCTCTCGTGCGAACAACTCCTGCATTGCATGAACCCCTGCCTCACAGGCAGACGGCACCCCAATGCACAATTGCATGGGAGCAGTAGCACGCAGTACATCGGACTCAAGCACCCGCATAACGGCACGACACACAAGCCGGCGGAACACTTCACCCACTGCAATCGGCCGCACACCTGGGTGTTTGTCCAATGGAATAAGTCTAGCGGCGGTAAATGCGGATAGGTGTTCCGGATCCAAGTCCTCCGAGCACAGGCATTGGGCAAAGCTGGCAAGAGCAGTACAGAGACCATCTGACGATTTGCGATAACAGGTTAGCATCCGGCACCACGCGTCAGAGTCCAGACCAGATGGGCCCGAGGACCCCTTCATCTGTCGGCCCAGACGTCGGATGAGCTCCGGTGTGATTTTCTGGAACACTATACTGTTGATTGGCTCCGGGTCGCCGGCGAGAAGTATCGAAACCGGGGGCTCGGCAGCAGGTGGATGTTTTTGCAACAGTGCCTCCTTCACGGTAGTTCCAGTTTCTTCGTCC